GTTGTTCTCATGATATTCTGTATCGCTTAAAACTTTTCGCTGACATCCTGACAGATAACTGAATAATTGCGGCTTCCCTGCCGTTACCATCATCAGCGTTTGTGAGAGCAGGAGATTTTTTCCGTGATTCTCAAGGATTTCCATACTCGGTGAAGTTTTTAACATTCGCCCTTACAGATTTCGCTATCATCCGAAGCTTTATGGAGTCATTTCTATGAATTTCTTTGTGAACCTAAAGTTTTCGCCGCCGTCCTGCAAATTGATGGAAGGCGCGAAATATTGCATACTGACTTCGAAACACGACATGTGACGGAAAATGTTTCGATCTGATTTTCACTCATAGTCGTTGAGAACAAAGTTCTTTCGTCAATGATTTGCGTGTTGTCTTGTGGCTCGAAATGATTGGCCATTTATGTTTCGCATTTCTGTGAGTGGCTAAGGTTATCTCTCTAGCTTTGTTATATCAGTGAGTGAAGCGAAGCTTCCTGACCTTACTGTAACGGATTTTACTGTGATTAGAAGTTTTTCCACCGTTACTCTTATCAACATTCAAATTGTACCATTGTATTCGTGTCCTCTTTATACGTAGTCTTATTAAAGTCGCCAGCGCATTATATTCATTTTTGCCTTCTTATGTCTTTAATAACTGAAAATCAATGAATAGAATGGGAGAAAAGAAGAAAATATTCGCAGTTTCTTTGCTCAAAGTAAATAACAGTCAATATAATTTCTTTTGTATGTCGAACCTTCCTAAGAAATTACTTACTAGGATTAAATTATTAAAGTCATCAAGTTCTTCGTAGTTTGAATAATGTGTAGTTATTGATTAGAATGTTTTCTGTGTCTTATAGCGTTGGCTTGTTTTTTTTTTGAATGATTCGTATCGTACTTTTGCAGCATGTCAGACCCTTATCTTCCGTTACTATTTGTGTTTGTCTTTTTTTTCGTGTTTTTATAAATTCTTATCAAATAAGTACTCTATGAGAAGGACTGTACACAACAACAATAAAACATTCACTGAAAGATAAGACGACGAGTGACGACAAAGAAGCAAAAAAAACTCATAGTTATTCAATGATATTTATTTCATATGGAGTGCACAAATCGATATTGATTTCTGTATAATGTGACGTGATTGGAATCGTTCAAAATTAGACAATGACTAGTAAGGAGACATTTCATTGCATCTCCATTCGATAATTCAGTTGCTGACAGTTAAAAGAGCACCATTGTTCTAGAAAGATGTTGTTGCATTTAATTTGATGTTGAAATAAATAAAACTTATATTATCAGGAACATGAGACAATTTACCTTTCAGAAAATACAAAAATTGATAATTTTTACTTCAATTCATTTTTCAATTTAAATAGATATTTTATATGATTTGACGTCTCATCTTATTTCTCAATAAACAAGAGGAAAAAGAATAACATTTAGCTAGTTCATTTGAACTTGAACTTCAAAAATATTTACATGCAAAAAGAAATATTTCGAACAAAGATTGATTTATTTTTTTATCTAAATCTTATGAGAAAAACCAATCTTTTAAGATAGTCTAATATAAATTGAAAAATCGAAATGGCGGGTGTGGGTTTAAACAAAAACTTCAGACACCCACACTCACGCCCTCACACCCAAGAAAAAAAAGAAATTCTGAAATTTTCACATGCAGAGAAGAGAAATACTGAAGCTTTCACATTGAGTATATATCTGCTTATTCTAGGAAGGAAGAAAAGTCAAAAAGAGTCAAAAAGTAGGAATATGAGCCTTCAACTTACCAATACTCTTAGACTCAGATATGATTAACCATAATACTTCCGGTAAGAAGTATACGCAACGTTTTCATAAAATATAGCATCATGAAAAATTTGATTTTATTATTTTTTTGTGCTATTTATAAAGGCAGATTATTCACCGGTACACTTCACTTCTCTTCTCTTCTTCTCTCAACATGATTTATTCATTATGTTGACCTTCACAAACTGTGTTTTTCTTTCTTTTTCCTTGTACGACTAGTATATAAGCATGTATTCGTATTAATATTGATACAACTGGAGTGATGAAGTAGTTCAAATAAATATCATTATCGACGGTAGCAATAGAGCTATTCCTCGAGTTCGTCACACTAAATAAATTGTCATTCGTTTAATAATATCAACATTAAGTGGTAAGTACTGAAAAGGAAAAATTTGGGGGAAGAATTTTCAACAATTAATATTCTTTATCATATCCTTGCAAGTTTAGATCAAAAAGGATTAAGTGTTCTTTATTTATTGAAAGTAAACGTAAGTGAATGATAAGAATCCAGAGTTTGTCTTTCTTTCATTTATATTTATTCATATATTTACGGCGAATCATTGAAAGTAAAGTTCTGATTCAACTAACGAGGGAAGCTTCCCAACTGTTCAATCGCTTTTGAGTCGAAACCATGTGCATCATGTAGGTTCTAATGAGCTATGAACATCCTGAAAAGAGTTCGAGCTACTAGCTTATTACTGTCGAAATACTGCATTTTTACGATATTGTTAAGTAGAATGCCGTGGTTCCCCTCAGAAGCACCAGTAGAACTGAGTTTTGAATTTCGACTTCAAATTTGGCACAGAAACAGACCTCAATGAGAGTAGCTTATTGTGAAAGTTTCAGATCTTTTAGTTGTTTCTATTCTGAAATAAGAACATCGGAATCTGTCGGAGGTTTATAAGCAGTGTAAAAACACCCTTTCTAGCTGTATCTTAGGATAGGAATGACAAAAAGGCCTGAAACTTCCACAATAAACTACTCCCACTGACGTCTGTTTCTGTGCAAAGTTTGAAGTCAAAACTCAAAATTCAGTTTTTCTGGTTCTTGAGGAGGACGACGGCATTGTGCTTAATTAAAAATACCATAAAAATGTAGTATCTCAACAATAATAAGCTAGCAGCCCAAACTCTTTCCAGGGTATTCATAGCTCATTAGGACCTACATGATGCACATGGTTTCGACTCAAAAGCGATTGAACAGTTGGGAACTTTCCTCGTAAGTGCTGTTCATTCAATACTCAATATGAGACGTCAGTCAATAATATGACACTGTTACATTTTCATCAGACTTAAAATGTTATTGAATCAAATACAATACTTCATTACATGTAAAGAATAAAAAGAAAATTTTCTCACAAAAATATATACAAATGTTGAATGTCAACAACAATGTATAAGCTTATCATTTAGAAGCCAGTCTCTATCCTCATGTGATATCAATCAAAGAAAATCTATTTATTATTGTTTAAACAATTGTCTAAAAACTATCTGAATAATAGCTCTTTAAAATAAAATTCCTTCCAGTAGAATTATCTATTATCAGACAATCAATGACTTCAATATATTTTTTATAGAAGGTTGATAAACTTTCCATGGTTATAAAAAAAAAGAGCAGGTTAAAGTAGCACATCATTTATATTTTGAATAATAAAAAGATGTGATGACTTCAAAATAGGATACTCTGGATTATTGCTTCAATACTTGATAAGGTAATAGAAGTTCAAAATAGGAGATTCTTGATTATTGATGCAGTACTTGATATAGATTCAACGGTAGATTACTTTCGGGATATCTCGACTTGCTTCCCAGACTGTTGTTGAGATCTTTGCTCCGCTTCTTGCTTTATTATCGCTTGTTGAATATGCGTTGGTAGGCTAGGATTGAGACTCAAAGCATACGGCAATAAGGTTTTCTGTATTTCTTCAAAATCAACCATAATTTTGATGAACATTGTGTCGTCTCGGACATATGAATTTCCTTCCCATCTAATCATATCCAATGGGAAAAATTTAGGTATTCCACTGGGCTATATTCATATCCGATCGAGGTCGTTGAAAACTATTCGACCTTATGTCTGGTCGAAATAAATCGATAATATGTCGTTATGCAGGTGTTTGATCGTATAAACAAACTGAGACTTTGTAGTTGAATCATCACCATTTAAATAAAGACGAGCTCTCATTTTATAGCCAGTAGGTGATGAATAGAATGGAGGTGAGTATAAATTGATGTTTGCCTTTCAGATTGTGCATCAACTAGAAATTAAGCTTAAACCCTTGCCAGTGCAGTCTCTTTGAAACAAATATGGGAAACTCATATGTTTTTTTTCAGCTTCATTATATTAATGTCAAATAGGTCAAGTAAATCTTGAATATAATTGGAAATCTGCATAAAAATACAAAAAAAACTGCACTATCCAGAATACTCAGAAAAGTATTGACACCATTACAATATCAAGTAAAATTTTGAAATATTCTCGAACAATCTAAGTCTTATTGTTAATGCCAATCAATATCTTTTTTTTCTTACTAAGAAATTATAGGAAAGAAGTCTGCTGTCTTGGATTGCTTTGGAAACGTATCCACTAATCATAATTTCGGTTGCTAAAGTCTATTGCGAGCACCTTTGCCAGCATTGCTATGGCCGTCAGAAGCATTAAAAATCATCGACCAATACTCTCATTGTCACCCATTGATTCGGGTTACTACTTTGGGATTCGGATGTTCGAGCGAAAAACCTTGCCTTACAACTTACACTTCCTATTTTCCTTAGTAAAAGATGTGATTTCCACAAAAAATCAGTGAAGAAGAGTAACTGCAAGTATAAAGAAATTTAGCCGATCGATAGAATTGATAATTGCTTCCATCAATTCATCAATAGCTTACTCATTCATTGTATTTATGCGTGACAATATACTATGTTGAATGTAACGTTAAATCGTTTATGTGTTATTCAATAATATTATAGAAAACGAAGAACATCTTTTTCTTTGATTATCTTGTCGATAGCATATTTTGATTTCTATCTTCAAGCATAAGACTAATTGCTCAAGTTACTTATTTTCTCATGAAAATTTTTTATTTTCCAAACCAATGTTTCACCATATGAAACATATTGCAAATCATTGATTTTTTCTTGCAAGGATACAAAGTCTTGGTTCTGTTTCACTCCCTGCAAAAATGCATTTGGTTCTTCAACAGATTATTTTAATTTCGATGATTTTTCTTTCAATATTGTAAGTGTAATTTGCATTTGGAATGATTCATTACTTAGACGTTGTTCATTATTGACCAATGCTTCGATGCCACCTGCCAAGATATTCAATATTTCATGAACTTCTTCAAATTGAGCTGTAGCAGGAATACAAGCTCCTGTAGTTGTTGTTCGAGGAAGATCAATATTCATTTGTCTATCATTGAATTGTGATGAAATTTGACGAATAAGTTTAAATATAGCCTGTTGATGCTGTTCAATCAAATAATGATTCTCCTTTTTGGTACGAATAAACTTAAGAACACGAACTTTTCGATGTTAAATGCATCTAAAAAATACTCATACTCGTTCATTACTGTCAAGGCCTTTCAATATACATTCAACAATCAATTTTGAACATTCGAAGATTTTATGTTCATTGAATTTATCAACTGAGTTGAAATGTTCACCACAATATTCACAGTTTAGATTTGAATGAAATTGATCGAGATGTTTCTTTGAAACAAGAAAAGATAGAAGATTTCATTTCATTTGTGAAACCTTGATCAAGCATTATCTACACAAAAGAAATATATTTTCTCTTTGACTATGAAAGGATATTTTACTTTAATTCGTGATGTTTCTGCTTGGCATTGCCGATATTTAATTGTCGTTCTTGAAAAAGAACAATGAAGAATAATACTAATACTTCAAATGGATAATGAAACTTACTCTTGTTCAGCATTTAAACATGTTTGACATAGTCGATCACCACATTCAGTCAATTGTACAGGCTCTCGTAATATCAATGAGCATACATGACAAATATATTTTCTATCAAGCATATGTTTATTTCTTGCATTGATGTCTACCATTATTTTAATTATTTTTTGTTAGTCAATATATAAATTTAAAAAAATTTTTGGAAACTGTGAAAACTAATTAAAGTGGATTGGTATCTTAATAAGTGATCAAAGAATGATTATCCTTCGATTTAAACGATTTTGTGATTAAAATATTTAAAATTGAAAAAGTCATATTAAAATATGATAAGGATTTCAAATTTTCAAAGTAACAAAATAGCGAAGGCTTCGAAATAGATCCATTCACTCTTATTAGATCAAGTTTTGAATTCATTGTAAATATGTTGATGAAATTTTGATTGTGAATGATATTATCATTGATGAAGATCAATTGAACATGAAGACGTACATCACGGACTTTCTTTAAATTCAGTTGAGTTATATTTAAAATATGATTGAATTACACACGCTCATTCAACCTATGACAATGATTTATATTTTGACTTACTTCATAATAACATTACTTATATTGAGATTTTTTCCATATCTATTTAGAACAGGATGACTGTGGGTGTGCGTGTGCGTGTGCGTATTGGTATGAATCGGTGAAGAAAAGACTTACACCCACACTCTTGATGAATATAAAGCTTTAAATCATTTAGTTTTTCATGAAATACTCATTAGCATATGGTCGGATCCTCTATTGGAAATAGGTAGTGAAACACGAAACTTATACGCATAACAATTAATTTTAAATATTTGTAGTTCGTTTTTATACACGCAATAGGCGCACAAAACTTTTTCTCTAAATAATCAATTTTTATTTGAGATGATGACGGCAGAGGAACGACAAAAACATGGAAGTTACCCGACTGTTAACTGTTGGAAAATTTCCCGAATCAATCATAGGATGAAAATCTGCGTGTTTTATAAGCATCCACCTATTTTTGGAATAATCATTTTAGTAAAAAAAACAATAAGAAATAAAAAATTTAACAAAAATATTTTTATTACACATAGAGATTCTCACGTATGAGTTCGAAATAGTTTTTTTTACTAGATCGTTTTTAATTAGGCATAAACATACAGAACAATTTTCTTTCTTTTTTTTAAACTCTCATTTTTGTTTACATTAAGAAAACATACCATGTATCTATTTTTTTTTGATTAGACAGAATATTCATTTTCACTTATTTATACTGTAATGTATGCACCAATGACTTCTTCTGCATCGACATCGAAAATGATTTTCGAACAGCGGTGTAATCAGGATTTTTAGGCCAATGTGGAAACTTCTCTTGTATCGAAAAAAACCGATGGGCGAAATGGGCAAAGTTGAGTGTGGGTGTAGATTGAGAGACGATCCACACCCTCACCCACATTAGAGATATTCCATGAGAACTCAACCACAAAATACACAAGTATTTTTAAATCGATGAAACTTTCAAGATTTGTAAGCCATAGTGAGCTATTAAGATCTCCAACATCAATTTTTTAAATTTCATTAATAAATAGGAACATGTCGAGTAGAACATTTTTTATGTGTAATCACGCAAATTAGATTTAAAGGTGAGGATTCAGGTGAGAATGATAGTTTTTTTAGATGAAACTGAGTGTTAATAATGAATACCTATTCAGGAATACTTGTTTATTGAGTATTCGAGATTAAATAAACATCGAAAAAATTCCAAACAACATCCAAAAGATTAGGAATTATATTGATAATGAGTCAATTTCATACGCTTGTGACCAGTTTTCATTTCTGCTGGCTTATCGGTACTCTTCTCGAATGTTATCTGAAGTGATTGATGATTGTCACTTATGGTAAACTGTCGTTCTTTTTCAATGAGCTGTTGAGTCATTTCCATGAAGAAATTTGATGACATTGGATGTTGTACAAATGTGACACTGGTCAAATGATTGACACGTTCGAGAACTAATTTCAAACTGTCAATACTCTTCGTTTTTAGTTTTAAATGGTCTATTTGAAATGATACTATAGAACATATTCCGTTCATCAATGGCGCCAAATCATCATCATAGAATAGACCGAGAATGCGAACATTGCATGCTTGTTTGAGCAAAATATTGATCGTGCGAATGCAAAAAGGACGATTTTTTGAGATGAACAATCAGATTTCATCAAGTTGTGAAAGATCGATAAATAACGGAAGACAGTCGAATGCATGAGACCACCATTTACCACCGATGTCTATTGCGAGTTGAGAGATATGACGAATCTGGTGAATTGGTGGTAGAAACTAAAATAACAGATAGAAATGCAGTGCTTTCGTGTTTTGATTCAGTTCAATCTGATTCCTACCAAAACTATGTTCTCTGAAGATTCGGATAGACTAAGACTATTTCTGCCTTTTCACCCTTTGATGGTTGCGAATCATTTTTACTTAATAGCTATGAGAAGTTGTCAAAATCATGCATCATTCTTTCCTTTTAAGACGTAGATTCCTATCCAATGATCAGAGAGAGAGAGAGAACTTTCTACGGAAGGAAATTGATATATTATTCAAAAAACAGACAAAATGAAGTGTCGTTGAAACGATTACAAATACCTTCTTTGAACAAACCGCTGCTACCATTCGAGCCAAATCGGAATGAACATACCATTTACTGCTCATATTTGCTGCATTATCATCTTTTGTAATAAAAGTAAAGTATGATAAAATATTTTCTCGGGTATTGAAAGGAAATTCATTCCATGTTCCTTCGGATGAATAGAGGATAAGACCAGAATTTGATACATTATCGGTAATTAATTGACAGGTGATAAACCAACGTTTATCCTCTAACTAGAATGGTGTACGAAAAGCAGTGAGAATCGATTCAATAGCTTCAAATTGATACTCACAAATATTAATGACAAACTTAAATTTTTCAAGTAAACGAAGTTTTTGACAAAGAAATATTTCCCATTGAGAGAAACGTTGGAGGAAATTGAATGACACTTGTCGATTAGTCTTTACATCGAGATGAACAAGTGAGGGTGTCAGCAAAAGAAGCAATTCCAGTTGATCAATCGATATACTCGCATTTCTCAATGTCAACGAAGTCAATCGGAGATTTGGTTTTGAAAAGATCGTTTTGAATAGTTTCATTGATATAACAATCGCCTAATGAAAATGTTTGAAGATTTGATAAATGATAAAGAATAGAACAAAATTGTTGATAAAAACACTCTAATAAATAATCGACGGAGTTGAAATAAATTTGACCAATTTATTTTATTCATTGTAGATATATCAACACACAAAATGAGCTGATGAAATTTTGACGGTCCGATAATCGAAGAAAGACGAACAATTGTCTCATCTTGTAACTGATTATTGTTCTTCATAATCAGTGATAGTGAAGTGAGAGTAAAGATGGAAGGAATAGAAGACAAGACGTTGTTTAGGTTCCATTCGTTGTTGCAATAAATTCTCAACGAACGAAGTCGAGTGAAGTA